GTCTTAGATATTTGAAATAATAAAACTAATATTTCCAGTGTGTGTACTTGAAAGATGAATTTAAATGTTTAAAACGTATATTAATGTATTTAATGTATTTATTTCAATAAAACAATTATAGAATTGCAAAATGTACACAATACAATATGTATTTATACTGTCAGCTTAAATTTACAAAAGTTTTTGCTGTAAACTACAATAATTTTAACATCAGTAAAAACAAAAAATCATGTCAGAAAGAATTGTTTAATGAATTTATTTTTATAACAAAGAACTACTGTATTCTTCGGCTTCACAATGATGCAAGGCTGTATGTGAAGCCAACCAACAGCTGGCACTCTTTTTCTTTCTCCTTTTTGTCTGGAAATGTTTAGAAAAAAACTACAAATACTGGATGTAGACAATATCAGAATAAACCAAATTGTCTGACAACGTGACTATGTTTATGATGCTCAACCATTACATTTTTACTGTCTGTCATTAGTGAGTCTACATGATAATTTCTGAATTATTATGCAGTCTAACTAGTCATTAATCCAATAAAGTCCATATTTTACATGTTTAATATCAGTAAATAATATATTTGACAACAGATAAAATCGATTTTAAATAAGGTTAAACATGAATGTTGAAGCTTTTTAATGTTAGCATACAGGTAGGTTTTACGATTAAAATAATTATTTTTTGTTAAATATGTGTAATATTTACCTGTGAAACATAACCCGTTTTGCTCTTGTAAACGTGTTGTAACAATCTATGTAGTTTATAGCAAAGTATTTGTACCATTAGTACATTTATAAAGCGTTTGTTTGCACCGCGCTACGTTCTGCTCTTTGGCTGTGTCAAAAACGGCAGGCCGGGTCCTCTGAAGGCCGAATTCGTCGGCCGCATACATCACAGCGCCGCGATGGAGGCTGTCCCAAACCGAAGACTCCTCCGATGCGGCCGAAAAATACGTCCTTCCTTTTCCCCGATTTGAAGGACAGGTCCAAAGGATCCTTCCCGGCCCAGCATATCCCATAATGCACTGCGGCCCGACCAGAGATTTTTTTTAAGCTAGTAACGGCGGATGAAGCGAGAGAAAAGAATATGTTTTAAATAAAAATATGACGATATAAAAATTACAATTTTTAGCGGTTTTAATTCTAATACTTTCATCATTTGTATAGACA